AATTGTTTTTATTCCACAGCTGGCAGGTCAGTTTGTCATAAGTGATTTCAAGCTTCTTTTTAAAGTCTTTTTAACTCCTGTCATTTGCCTGGACCTGTTTCGAAGGTTTGATAGCTTGTTTCTATTGCAACATCTGGCAACACCAGCTTTAATGAAGTGAGTACTTGCTAAACAGGATGGCAGCAGTTAAAAAAGTAGAGTTTTGGAGCAAAGAAGAAACTTTAGAACTGTGATCTGACTACATGGAAATGACTCAGTACTCAGAAAATGAACACTTTTGCTTTTTAATCTAATTATAGGGATATTTTTTAAATCTGATGGTTAGATTTTTGAGAAGCAGCTGGAACTCTTTGTCCCATTTATGACAAAATTAGTCATTTTTTAATTTTTGCCACTATGATATTAGAAAAGCACACCACATCCAGTCAAAATATCATATTTCAGTCAGTCACAATGTATTTATGACTGAGTGCAGTTGGACATATTTTGCTGCCAAGTCTAAGCTGACAGTAAGATCCATCAGTGTTAGTTTGTCGTGTTCCCAATATGCTTTCTGGTAAGATTAAAGTAGWCATTATTCCTGTATACAGCAATTTAAAGTAAATAAATGAAGATGGACTGACATTGAAACGTAAACTTGTTTTTCTCATTTCATATTATGACCACAAAAATACATCAAGAAGAAATGAATGTTTTTGTCAACCTGATGTACATTTTTTAAGCAAACACTATTGTCTGCATTAGAAAAACCATCAGGTTCTGAGTGCATTTCTYGAAATGCTATTAAATTTGTTGCTGTGGGAAAAAACAGCAATCCATCAATGCCTCATATATGTTATCTATCAGGATGAAAAAAAAAAGAAAAAACACAAAACTCCCCACCACTTCAGTAAATAAAAACTATCCATTTCCAGATTGCTCCAGGCCTAAAATAAGACCTTTGTCTGCTAAAGTATTTGAAGTTTATTTATCCAGTTACAATCAAGAGATGCAATTTTGTCTTAATCAACATCAAACAAAGAAAACCAACTTAAGTTTTTTATTATTATTATTACTCTATTGTCAGCAAACCACCCGATTGGCCTAATTTTAATTATGCTGGACTATGATGTCCACACAGATAAAAGTAAACTGAAGAAGTCAAGGACACTAACAAGTTAAGAAGAATTTGCAAACTCATGTCTCAGTTCTCTTGGACCTGTGAGAATCTTATTTTATTATTATTATTATTATTTGATGATATGAGATTATGATATTATTTGATGTTGCGTAGTAACATGAGTACCTTAAGCTCCTCCCACAATATTGTTGCAGCCAAATTACTAAGAAGAAGCACTTTTGTAGACCCTTTCCGAAATAAAAATATTTTGAAGCCCTTCAGTATTTTTAGTAATATACATCTAGATTTAAAGTAGCTGGGACAAACAGCCTAAAAATTTCATTTTTGAAATTTATTTTTTATTTTATTTTATTTTATTTTCAGCAAATATAACTACATTATTGATACAGTTTGAGAATCAGGACAAATTTAGCCCCTTTTTAGACACAATTGAGTGAATATGTTTATTTTCAGAAATAGAGCCTTAATCTTGTGTGTCTGCTAAAAAAAAGCAATCAGTTAGGATTGAGCATTTAAATATTTGTTTAAAAAATGTTGGAGAACTGTGTGTGTGTGAGAGGATGTGACAGTTAGCTCCATCATCAGATTTATCTGCAAGTAAATTTAAGTTTATTTCATTCTGATTTTTTAGAGAGTTTTAAAAGAGCTCATTGATTGTGTAATACTGCACACAATTAATGTTTAAATAAATGCTCTCGTTATGCTGTAATTTCATGTGTCTCTTTAACCTCGATTTGGTAAGAGATTAAAACTTCTGCTCTTTTCTGGCAGTTGCAGGTGGTAAACAGATGGCTTTGAGCTAAATGGCAGCTTATGTGTCAGATTTCTGTTTCTGCCCCCCTTCCTCCCTTAACATTGTTTTAGGTTGTGTAATGACTTGCAGTGGAAACATTATAAATTTTAACACAAGCACAAAAAAGTGCATTATTCCCAATCATAATCACCTGCTGGGCTGTTTGTAAAAGACTCCTTTTGCCCTGATTAAGTGAGTAAAGCAGGTCTCAGGAGATCTGTGTTATTTTTTTCTACTAAATGAAATGAACTATTCCCATTAGACAGATTATGTAATAGACTCTAAAGTGACTCTGCTGCAGTTAAAAGTGCTCCTTGTTATTACTCACTAAAAGAGTGCAATTTGTGGATTGGAAAGCTTCTGCCAATACTCCATTATTAAAAGGTCTACATCTTTTATTAAACAAATAAATCCTGTAATAGAGCAACATATTTGTAGTGGCAAGTTTAAAGAGTAACTTACCCCAAAATTAACTTTTTTTAGCTGATAAACTGTCTACAATATTCTAAGATGTTATATAGTACTGTTTCTGTGCTAATGTTGACGTTTTTGTGCGTATTTGTTCAAATCTGTAATATTTGGTCTAAAAACGTCTTTTTGCTGCTCATA